AACACAATTTAGACTCCAGCCTATCTAGAAGCTTCCATTCGGAGGAAACATTCCTCACGTCACTCTGGACAATACAGCTATCCATAACAGCTTTTTTCATGGTGACTCCATATAGCAAAGGAGAAAAAAAAAACTACACTTATTTAAAAGGTTCTGTTCTTCACACTATCTCCTTGATTCTTTTTCTTCACCTCACTTTATCATCTAAGCCCCCTTTTTTAAACATGTACTATGAGAACCAAGCTGATTTATAAATGTGCCATGGTGATCCTGTGTATGCTAACCAAGGGTGAAGATAACTTTTTGCACAAACATGGAACCAAAGAGTAAATGTGACCAAAAAAAACGGCAACCCCATTTACTATGACAAAGGAATGTTGTAGCAAGAAAGTAGATGTTAATTTAAAAAAACAGGATTTAACTGGAAAAGGTGAAGACCAATTTACAGTCTAAAATCACTTAACCCCCTGTGAAACTGTAGGAGTGTTATATTCAGTTGGGTTTCCTCTTAACTGCTTAGGAAGCACTGTATGTTTATTTTGTGATTCCAAGCAATTTAAAAATTGAGGAGTTGGTATGAGTGGCTTCACCTAGTTAAATGAACACCTTGTTAAAACAGCATTAGAAATGGGTTCACTTTTCTACTTTCTCTTGTTTTCAAGACTGTAGAAAATGAATTTGAACTTGTGTTTATGGTTATAAATCCTATAATTAGGAAGTTGCAATGCTGTTGGTCCCACCACATCTTGTGCTGTTTGGGGATTCCAAATACAACAACTGGTAAAACAAACCCACCACTCTGTGATGAAGGGCATTTAAAAGGTAAGTGGCTTACATGTAACTAACTTGTTTTCATAGGTTCAGTGTGTCCTATTTGATTTATGTAGCAACTTGTACAACCATTGGTACTGAACATTTTCACAAACTGTGAGAATCTGATTCTATGAAGTTACGTCCAGTCTTATCCATTTCGTAGCAGTCAGTATACAGGCTGGGCAGCTATGAGTCCTACTGAGTACCAGCTGTTTGAGCTTGGTGGATGACAAAACTCCTTTGGACTTTGGTTTCTTCACTTGTAAACGAGTGTTATCCCATCTACAGTACACACTTATGTAGGTTGGTGTTTTGGATAGGATGAGACAATAAGTTTTTCAGAGTGAAAACAGCTATTCAAATGTAAGGTCACATTTTAGTTAAATTTAGGTAGATACTGTATGACCTTGTGACTTGTCCTACCTGAATTTATTTTTATCACCAGTAACTTGGAGGAAAATAATACCTGCCTCAAAGAGCTGTTATAAGGATTAAAGAAAGTAAGACACTCAAACTGTGAAGTTTGTAAAAAACGTAGGTTGATTTTTATTGCTCATTGACTATATACGTATAAAGAAAGCATGATTAATTTTGTATAATTTATTCCTTTGAATACATATTGCAAATCAGATCAACCTCAAAGTCCCTTTAAAACCTAAAGATTTTCTTGTGAAACCTGACATACTTTGCATTAAAATGGAGAACTCACAGGTTTGGGTGATATAATGGCAACACCTCACAGAACTTTAGGGCTACTTTAGTATTGACCAATGCTACTTTTATGGGTAGTTAGATATCCACAGCTGACCATCATAAATTAGTTCCATACAGCAGTTCAATATTTCATTGTAGATTGACATGTACAAGAAATGAAAAGAAAAGTCACATGGTTCTGATGAAAATTAATCAATTTAGTGGAATAAACACATTCTGTTGATATTTCTTTGACTTGTGTCTAACATTCACACATCATTTATCCGAACACTTTCATTGGTACATTTTTCTTTCTGAGTTCCTTCTGAACGTGTGTCCTGCTTCCATCCGCCATCTCAGTTTTAAATCACGTTCAATCGTTCTAAGTATGAAGGCTGGAGGTCAGCCCTGTCAAGTTCCCTGAAATGAGGCAGGTGCTGCATGGAAGATGTGGGTGGTTTAGAGACAGACGTGGCTGTTTTCATGGCACGTGGTACCCACGCCAGCCACCGACAGGTAAAGCTTCCCATCTGGACACACACAAATTTCATAGAGTCTTTGTGAGCTGCTAGCAGGACCCTGAGTCCCCTGAACCAACTTGGGTAAACACACAGTTTCAGCATCGAGCACAAGCTGTTTGGGAGAAAATGAGAGAGAAGTGGTAAAGGAGGAATGAGCATGATAAGCATAAAATTTATATCCTCAAAATGATCCAAATAAAGTAGCTTTTTTCTCCGCAGAAGGAAATGAAATAAGCACCTGGTTTTACTTAAGTCATATAATTATCTGATTGTTTAAAGCTTATTTCCATTTTACATTCGGGCAGGATCTGAGTAATTCCTTTTCCAAATCGGAGGGAAGTTAATTTTTCTTTTACCCATTGTGCTAGTTGAGCTAGGAAAAATTATGATGTTACAGTCCCCCAAATATCGTTCAGAATTATCCGGCAAAAATAATAGAATTCTTTTGCTAATTCACATTTATATTGTGATCCGCTGTGACTTTATGTTAAATCATCGTCCAGTTAGGATAAAGTACAGGCCACAGAAATACATTCATCTTAATAATTTTTACCTGTGAATGTTGGCATTTCTCCTGATTCTATTTTCCTAAAGAGGCAGTTAAATTCATCCTATTAGCTATCAACCGATCAACCGTTTCCCTAACTTTTAAAACATTATTTGTTTTAAATTAGATGCAGAAAAGCAGGAGACACACAGACTAAAGCCAACTAAATAAAATGAAAGCTACTGATTTTTTTTGTTCCTATTAGAGTTTAGTTAAATGGAAATGCAAACAAATGGCCATTGGTTGAGACCTGGAAATCTTTTTGATAGCTGAAGGCAGTAGGAATTGTGGTACCGAGCAAAGCAGCCAAACCTCACCCATTCCAGGGTGCTCATTTGTTAGAAGGAATTAAAGTACGTGGTGGGTAGGCATAATATCCTTCCTGTACAACAGGGCTAAGTCCTTCCTTCATTTTTTGTGACTCTCATCCATGAACTCCAGTTTTTCAGTAAACAGATGTCTGCAGTCTGTACTCCCCCCACCCCCTGGGGACACTGACCACCACCATGTGAAGCAGTAAGTGGCATCATATTAGTGGCATTACAGGTAAAGCTTTATTTACCCTAGAGGTCCTGGATATTTTCAGAGTAAAAGGAATCACTTACGTCTGTTTTTAAAAAGCCTAACCTGTTAAGGTTATTGTCCAATGCTTCGGGCTCTGTGGCACTTGCGTCTCCCTACGTGCTTTTGTGGCTTCTCTCTCCTTTCTTATGGTTAACTGGTCAGTGTTTTTCTAGTTGTTAATTTTTTTTCCTGCTCTTTTAGCAAACTCTAGTCTCTGGCAGTCTCCACATACTGCTTCTTTGCTCATCTTCTTTTGCTTTTATAAGGGGAATATTTTGTGGGATCTCTTCACCCTAAACTGGCTCCCAGGAATAAGGGAGAGCAACTTTAATTATGAGTCAGGCTGTGCTATTTGTCAAAATGACACCTCGTTCATGGAAATAAGTAATATTATTTAAAAACTATAATCAGTATAAATTTCTTCAAGGCAATACATTTTAAGTATGTAGTGACATGATGATTTAGTAATGGGATTCCAAAATTCTTGATTTCCATTTATCTGCTCCTGACATCATAACTTATATTCCACTGGCAGGCTGCCATTAAAGGGCTCTCCCCACACTCCTGAGCTGCCTCTCATAGGCTTCATTTGTTGCCTTCACTATACCTCCCTATTAATAATAAATTAACATAATTTCAAAATGCTGTCACCCACATTACCATACTGGTGTCTCGTAACCCTGTGACATAGATAAGCTAATATTTCCCCTGTTTGACAAATGGGAACATAGGCCTAGAGAGGCCTGTTACCTGTCTGAATTCAAATAGGTAATTAGTGAACCGATTGAGCACTAGAACAATAATGCTGGGTGGCTTGTGCTCCATTGCCTATCACTTTGGCTCCTCTCAGTGATGTTTTATGTTTGGACTTGAAGCTCCAGATTTTATCCTTATTGTGTTAACTTTTAAAGATCCTATTTTCATTTAAATATAATTTGGCATGAGGAAGCCCAGTGCCCTGAGCAATAGCAGATGACGGTTGTCACTGACAGGTGGCTCCTCATGACAGCCGTATTGAAAGAAGTCAGATAACCAGGAAATGGCAGAGTTGATATTCTCTGTAAGCTCTGAAAGTCTGTAGCATTTTTTCAAAGATAAAAGTAACAAGAGACTTGAGCACAAATACCAAAGACAGCTATCTGGATCCAATACAGAATTATTTTAACCTTTCTTTCAATGCTAAGTTGTCTTTTGCCTTTGTTTCACATTTTTTACTCTAGACCTTTCATGTTTCTTTACAAATTACCATAAATTTAATATAATGATACCTTATGGACATGAGTATCAGAATATACTATAAAAGGTTGATCTATTTAACTCACCATTCCATCACTACTATGAAAAGTAATATCCATTTGAGAAAGGGCCTCGATTTTCCCAGCATGAGCTTTAATATGAACACCCTTTGGGGCGTCCATGCTCAGACTCCGCGTGGGGGATTCTAATCTGAAATGAGGGAAAGAAACCAAGAAAAAAACAGTATTAAAAAAAAAAAAGCCACTCCAGGTATCCCTCAATGAACAGCTTGGAATAAAAAATATAATTAATAAGGTATATGGTATCTTCATATCATTCTTTTTATTTATTTTTTATTATTAGTTTCAGGTGTACAGAACAATGCAATAGTTATCCTTTTCACCCCTCACAAAGTAACAACCCCCCTCCCTCCATCCATTGCCCCTCCACCCCCAATGTCAAACTTATCTATTACAATTCCATTGACTCCATTCCCACACTATACTCCACATCCCATGACTATATGTATATATAATTATAGTTGGCATACAATATTATTCAACATCAGCTTCAGAAATACAGTGCGGTGGTCAGGCCTCTACACTGTCTATGCAGTGGCCTCCTTGACCAGATATCTTCATATTATTCTTGAATGCTAATATATTATATATTATTCATTGATAAATCCAGAAATAATGTGCAATAAAGAAATGAACTTCCTATCAATGAGAGTGTATATAATTCATATCCTCTAAGAGGTAAACCATTAGGGAATCCTAAACCTGTGCAATGGTTTCAGGTGGCACAGTTAAACACCCTGGCACACCACACCAGAAGAAAATGCTGTTTGTGAATAACTCTGTAAAACCATTTTTTAGTTAAAACACCAACTTGCTTGGTAAAAAGACAAATTTAAGGGCAACAAGTGCATTTGCTACGTTCATAAAATAGAATGTAAGCTTGGCCTTTAGGTGTTCTGTTTTTTTAAAAAAATTCAAGTTTATTGGGATGACAATGGTTAATTAAGTTACATAAGTTTCAGGTGTACAATACTGTAATACATCATCTATATATCACATGCCCTTTAGGTTTTGTTGGCCTTTAAAAAAAATTTTGGAAGACTACAGGGCAGATGCAAAGATTTCTTTTGGAAAAATACTGAACTGATAGAGTTGATAGGATGGAGATTTTCCTCGGCTGGTTTAGGTTTTGTGAAATTTATCAGAATATCCTTGTGATTAAGTCCAACACAGATAAAGAACAAGGAACACATGGACCAGAAAAATTCTCTTATTTGCCTCTGCCCGAAAAAGACTAAATGTCCACTAGATGGCACAATGTGATCACTAAAAAGGTTTTTCGGCGGCTCCACCCAACTCAACACAAAGTCTGAGAGGCTGATTTGACTGAAATGGTTCAAGATCTATGAGAGGGAGAACAGAATAAAAAAGGGTCTGGAATCCTCCCCTGTAGGGTCAGAGTAGAGTGAAGGTGGGAAGGAAAGAGAAAGGGAAATGGTTAAGAAGAGAGACGTGCCCTGGTAATTAATTTGCTTTTGAAATCACTGAATATTTATTTGATAGACTTAAATCAGATGGTTGCCATCTTTAATTGGCAAGTTTTTTAGGCTACCACTATTTGTTATAGAAAACAGTTTCATTTTCGTATGTACATCTCAGTATGTAAAATTTGATCTGTTACACATTTTGAAATCTTACTCTGAGTGTGAGAAAACAGAGATATTTATTGGTCAAATTATGCTGGGCTTAAGTTATGGGGAAACCCTGTAATGTCTCTATGAGATGATTGCTCATTTTGTGATTTCCACCTCTGCTAATTGTCCACACTTTTTTGTGCCTGGATTGATAGAAAGGGGGAGGGGAACGAAGGGCCGGGAGGAAGACATGTAACCAGTAGAGGTCTGGTCCGTTTTAGGCAAACAATTTGTGAACTTGAAGACCCTGCTGAAGGCGAGTCTGTTTCAAAAATCAGTTATCAACAAAATTGCCTTAATAAGGCCAAGTACTAGTTTTTAATTATAATATGATGCTTCTAGAAGAGCAAACTTCTTTTCCTTTGCATAATTTCTAGCCTTGAAGATTAAATATTTCAGTTCGACACAGGTTAAGACACATTTTACCAAAAAGGCTGCGATTAGCATGCTGTGAAGTATACATTTCCACAAACACATCAAACAGTAGTCAGATATAAAATAACAATGTTTTCGTTATATTTTGCTTTGCTAGTTAGATGTACCCTTTTCTTCAAGTATGTGAATATATATTTACTCATGACTTATGTGAAGAGTAAAAAGTTTTGAATGCCCACAGAAATATATCAAAATAAATAAATACACACACACACACACACACACACAATTTGTGTTATAAAAATACAATTAAGTAATTTGGTTGCTAAAGTAGATGAGTTTTAAGTTGTGTTCCTGTTAAAGATAAATAGACTGCAGTAATTTCCAATATTTATTTTTTATTACAGTATAGTTGGTATACAATGTTATATTAATTTCAGGTGGACAACATAGTGATTCGATATTTATATATCTTACAATGTGCTCACCACACTGAGTCTAGTAACCACTTGTCACCATGCAAAGCTATCACACTATTATTACTTATATTCCCCTTCACCTTTTTCACCCATCCCTCTACCTCCTCCCCTCTGTCAACCATAAGTTTGTTCTTTGCTTCTATGAGTCTGTGTTTGTTTTGTTCACTTTTGATTTTTAAAAAATTACATGAGTGAAATCATGTGTTATTTGTCTTTCTATATATGACTTATTTCACTTAGCATAGTACCGTGTAGGTTTATCCATGCTGTCACAAATGGCAATATTTCTTTCTTTTTATTTCTGAGTATTATCCCATGGTATACGACATCTTCTTTATCCATTCATCTATTGATGGACATCGAGGTTGCTTCCATATCTTGGCTATTGTAAATAATGCTGCAGTGAACACAGGGGTACATAGATCTTTTTGAATAAGTGTTTACATTTTCTTGGGATAAGTATCCAGAAGTGGAATTGCTGGATCATATGTTAGTTCTATTTTTAGTTTTTTGAGGAATCTCCATACTGTTGTCCATTGTGGTTGCACTAATTTACATTCCACCAACAGTTCACAAAGGTTCCCTTTTCTCCACAGCCTCACCAACACTTGCTGTTTGTTGACTTTTTGATAATAGGCATTCTGACTAGTGTAAGGTATTATCTCATTGTGGTTTTGCTTTGCATTCCCCTGATAATTAGTGATGTTGAGCATTTTTTCATATGTCTGTTGTCCATTCGTATGTCTTCTATGGAGAAATGTCTCTTCATATCCTTTGTCCATTTTTTTATCAGACTTTTCATTTTTTTGTTATTGAGTTGTATAAGTTCCTTATGTATTTTGGATATCAACTCCTTATTGTATATGCCATTTGCAAATATAGTCTCCCATTCAGTAGATTGTGTTTTCGTCTGTTGATGGTTTCCTTTGCTGTGCAGAAGCTTTTTATTTCCCATTTGTTTATTTTTGCTTTTGTATTCCTTGCTTGAGGGGATAAATCAAGAAAGATATTACTAACAACAATGTCAAAGAGTTTACTACCTATGTTTTATTCTAGCAGTTTTATGGTTTCATGTCTTACATTTAAGTCTTCAATCCACTTTGAGTTTATTTTGTATATGGTATAAGAAAGTGATCCAGTTTCATTTTTTTTGCATGTATTTGTCCAGTTTTCTCAGCATCACTTGTTAAAGAGATGATAATTTCTCCATTGCATATTCTTGCCTCCTTTATTGTATATGAATTGACCATATATAAGCGATGATTTCTTTCTGGGTTCTCTATTCTGTCCCATTGATTTTGTGTCTGTTTTTTGTGCCATTACCACACTGTTTTGGTTATTATAGCTTTGTAGTATATTTTGAAATAATACCTCCAACTTTGTTCTCTCAAGTTTTATTTAGCTATTTGGGGTCTTTTGAGGTCCTATATAAACTTAGGATTAGTTCTAGTTTTGAATAGAATGCTATTGGTATTTTAATAGGGATTGCATTCACTCTGTATATTGCTTTGGGTAATACTCTCACTTTAATAGTATTACACCTTCCAGTCTATGAGCATGATATATCCTTCCATTTATTTGTGTCCTCTTCAATTTCTTTCTTCAATGTCTTATACTTTTCAGAATATAGATCTTTCACATCCTAGGTTAAATTTATTCCTAGGTATTTTATTCTTTCTGATGCAACTGTTTTCTTAATTTATTCTTCTGATCATTTGTTATTAGTGTATAGAAATATAATGGGTTTCTGTATATTAATTTTGTATCCTACTTTACTGAATTCATTTATTAATTCTATTAGTTTTTGGTGGCTTTTTAATAAAGGTTTTCTATATATAGTATCATGTCATCTGCAAATAGTTTTACTTCTTGATACCAATTTGAATGCCTTTAATTTCTTTTTCTTGTCTGATTGCTGTGGCTAGGACTTCCAATATTATATTGACTAAAAGAGGGGAGTGTAGACATCCATGTCTTCTTCCTAATCTTAGAGAAATAACTTTCAGCTTTTCATCATTGAGTATGATGTTAGCAGTGAGCTTGTAATACATGGGCTTTATCATATTGAGGTAAGTTTCTTCTATACCCATTTTGTTGAGAGTTTTTATCATAAATGGATGTTGAATTTTGTCAATTATTTTCTGCATCTATTGAGATTATCATATGATTTTTATCCTTGGTTTTGTTGATGTGATATAGCACATAATTGTTTTGCAAATATTGAACTATCCTTGCATCCTTGGTATAAATCCCACTTGATCATGTTATATAATCTTTTTAATGTATTGTTGAATTCAGTTTGATAGTATTTTGTTGAGATTTTTTGCATCTATATATTTTGCATTTATACAGTGACAGTGATATTCACCTGTATTTTGTGTGTGTGTGTGTGTGTGTGTGTGTGTGTTGCTTTTGTCTGGTTTTGGTAATGCTGGCCTTGTAGAATGAGTTTGGAAGCATTCCTTCCTGTTCAATATTTTGAATAGTTTGAGAAGAATAGGTATTAATTCTTTTTTAAATGTTCAATAGAATTCACTTGTGAAGCCCTCTGGTCCTGAGCTTTTGATTTTTAGGAGGTTTTTGATTACTATCTCGATTTCATTGCTAGTAATTGGTCTGTTCAGATTTTCTCTTTCTTTCTG